AGAGAGAGAGAGAGCGGGTGCGTGCGACTCGCGATTTCGCGATGCGAGCTTCAAGGAAAAATTGTCGATGCGACAAACTTTTCTGATTCATTTGCCGTGTGGGATCGGTAATTAATCATTGGTCGACGCGCGATCGACGTCGCTCGCGCGTCGACGTTCTTTTCCTCTCGCGGCGTAATGGCTGGCTGAAATTAACTCGTCTAACGAACGGGGCGTCGATACCAATAGGCCGAACCGATATCACGATACGAATCGTTATGGGCGACTAGCATTGATTTTACAACGTCGCGCTCGCAGGACGTTAATCGAGTGATGGACTTTATGATGCTTGAATACCGTCGTTAGTCTCGCGACAGTCATACATTAACTACATTTACACGGCAAGGTTAATCCGGATTAGTAACAACCGTAGTTAGTGAATTCTTTGATTCACGATTGATATATTCTTTTAGATCTAAAAATATACTCTAATTGGATTCGAGACTGCACTAACTACGGTAGTTACTAAGTCGAAGTTAGAAGCCGTGTACACTGTAAAACTAAGCATCGGAACATGTGTGTTAAAATTGAGTGTTAGTGTGTTATTTTGACACATTAGCCGGCGTTAAGTGCCTCAAAATAATTCGTTTTCTGTGACAAAAGTGTGTTTTAATAACACACTTGTCTGTAACACACCATGTAATTTACATTACAAATACATTTGGATGATATATTACACACCAAGTCGCGTAACACACTAGTAATGTATTCATGATAACACACTAATTTTGTTAACACACATTTAAATGAACACACATATGTGTATTAAAAAAAAATACATGTGAGAAAAACACAAATTGACAAAAACATCGGCGATTACTTGCCTTCAAAAAAATATTGTATCTATTGTAAACAAATTAATGTAATAATAACTTGCTTTCATATTATTACAGACTAAATCATTAATTATATGTTATTCATTATTATATGTTTAAACGTAATATGTTAAATAACGCGTGACTGAAAATGGAAGAAATGTGTAAAAAAGATTCACATTCATTTACACGTTTGTGTATTTCAAAATGACACACTTGGATTTGCAATGTTGCTCAATTCACCTTCATAACACGCTTGAGGTATGTTATTTTGATATATCTTCATAACACATTGGAGATATTATTGGAGATATGTTATTTTAATATACTTTCATAACACACTGAAAATGTGTTATTTTAATACACCTAACCATTAACACACATACAAACGATTATATTTAACATATACATAAATATGTTCTTTTCACATACATATATGTGTCAATTTAATTTGCTGATTTTGTATGTCTAAAGTGGAGACACTTTAACACGCTTCAAGCATGTTATTGTAACACACTTCAGTTTACAATGTAAACGTAGTCATTATCTAAATAACGTTATCTCTCTCTCTCTCTCTCTCTCTCTCTCTCTCTCTCTCTCTCTCTCTCTCTCTCTTTCTATCAACATTGGAGAAACTAAATATGACGGAGCAAGATTCAAACAAGTCTAAAGGCTGATCTAGCGTTTTATATTTATGTGCAACGCACACGTCACGAACTTTCGTCCTTGCCTCGAACGCAATATCCACTTCCACGTCCCGTTTTAAATGGCGTCTCGCCTTATTAACTTTCCTCGCAGCCCAAAGGATAGTTCCAACCTCGGAGCTCATGCCATGTGGCAAATTGTCACCGCGGATTAGTGTCAAATCCGTTGTGTCGCCGGGCGACGGACACCGTCGCGCAGACTTTTTCGCCGCGACGCAATCTTCGTGTCTGCGAGCGCGAAATAATTGCCGACGCAATCTCGTGATCCGCGTCGCTCTGATTTTCCCGCTGACGCGCTTTCATTTCAATATTAATGGACAGATCCGGCGTTGTCATGTGTGTCTCGCTTCGTTCGTCGCAACAACCGATGTTCGTTCCGCAGTTCGTTCTCGCGCGCAGCGTCGCGTTACACGCGCGTAGGCTGACAAACGGAATCTCGCCCGGCCGATGCGTAATTGATTAATAGCTGGTTGGAGGGGGGGGGAGGCGCTTCTTGAAAAATTCACCGGCATCTGCGATTTAGCAAAGCTCAGCAATTCGCTCGTTTCGCGCGCCGAATTAAGAGCGATCGCATCAGTCAGCGCCGACGAGCCGCGCGCTCATCGCGGCTGAGCGAATCGCGAAACGAATAAAATTGCGATTATTCCGCGGACAACACCGAGTGGCAAAATGAATCGGGACAAAGGGAAGGAGCGCGTCGGAAAGGACGCAACAACGAGATCGCGCGCGCGCGCACCACCGGCGAGAACAAATCCCGGCCACCCGGACGACGCTTTTTCGGGGGCACGCTATATGCGGTTGCAGCTCGATATAGCTTAAAGAAGCAAAGTTTCAGCTCGCCTGCGCAACAAGTATCCGGGAGTCAAAATCGTTATAGCTCGCCTCGGCGCGGCGCGGCGGCGGCTTGTCGCAGCCGGCGATTGAATCCCAGCCCGTGATGTTTCATCCCTTTAATCCCCGACTCGCAAACGTGAATGAATTTCGCAGCTCTCGCCGTTAGGCAGGGCTTGTAGTCACGCAGCGAGTCATATAAGCCGGCGACTTCACGTACTCGAGCGTACTTTAGCGTCGACGGTACCTTCTTAAGAGTGCCTTCTTCTTCTTCTGCTCTTCGCGGAATCAAAAGAAGACGAACAAGTCTGACAGCCGACTTGCGCGACTCGCGAGATTAAGTAACCGCCGATTCGACCTTCCTTTTTATCACTTTTTATCCGTCCTTTCGTTCACGGGCGAGATTAGGGCGGAAATCTCACGCCTGAAGCGCCGGCTAAGATGGGAAAAGTTCCCGGCAAGCACTTTGCCGCCGCCAAGTTTCCGCCGCCGCCGCCACCGCCGCCGCCGCCGCCGCCGCCGCTGTCTGTCCGTCTCATTGGCGTTTTTCGCTCGGAAGTTCGCGAGCTCCGGACTCTGGCCGCCTACCGGCACTCAGCCGACGAGAAGTTCTTCAATATAATTAAAGAGCCAGCAGAATGAAACGAACGTACATAAGTGCACGAGTTCGATCCAACCCTCTCTCGCTCCCTCGCCCTCCCCCCTCTCTCTCTCTCTCTCTCTCTCTCTCTCTGCATTTTCAAGCGGAACTTGAATTATCTCTCACAATTTGTGCCGGGAGAATTTTCGATAAGTGAGTTTGCCGCTGCTCGCGTTGCTCGACCCTTTTTCTACGTCATTTCGACGTGAACGACCGTCGCCGCGACGAGCATAGGCGAATAAGTTGGACAGAACTTGCGGAATTTGCGCACAGCTCTCTCTCTCTCTCTCTCTCACTCTCTCTTGCTAATTAAATCTTCCAGATATCCGCCTGCGAGCGCGACTCGTCACGCATGATTAATAACGCTGCGCAGCGCGAAGGACAAAGTGCAACGGCAAATGATAAGTAGCGAGCGCTTAGCGGTACGCTTCGCACCGCTTCGAATTAATCAACGTCGGATCGCACAGGCACAGGTACAGGATTCTAATGAGAATTCCAGACAAACCGGCGGATCACGCGGGAGCGACTCGCTTCCGGTGTGTCCTGCGGGATGCAATTCGCGTCTAGATTAAGCGAGGAACGTTGCATCTCCTGCGAGATTGATTATTAAATCCCGCAAAATCCACGGAAAACCGTCGGTCCGATCATCGCGCCGACAATTCCTCTCGTAATTTTATCTACATCCTACCACGGACACGTGGGCGAAAAAATATTAAATTCGCCTCTGTGCGACGAGTCGCCTTTGACATTTCATATGATACAGTGCTTTCCTGGACCTCGGCAGGAACTCGTGTAACCGGCGCTCCGCTTATTCCCGCAGAGCGTTTACGTCGTTGGCTGAAATATTTCGCCCGAGGTCCTCCGAGGCGATTTTCCGCCGCGCGACGAGTAAAATGTGTCTCGCCGCGGGATCGTCGTTTCTTTCACGCCCGCCCGGAAATGGAGAGAGAGAGAGAGGGGGGAAATCGCTTGTAACCGGACGCGACGAGGACCGCGATGAAATTATTTCGGATATTCTTGGAATCAGAGGACTCCAGATCCTTTTACCAAAAGGCTTGAAAATTAATCCTCGCAGCCTCTCCGCTTGCTTCTCGCGTTCTCTCGTTCGCTTCGCGCTATTCACGTCGTTGTTCGATCGATATCCGATCGTTCTCATTCGCTTTTAAGCGTCTCTTCGTGAGAGGCATCTATCTGTGTTTTGAAATTTTCTAAACATTTTCTCCTCACGTTCACTTCGTCCATGCTCCAGTGAGAATTAAAGAAGATATATCCCTATGATATATTCCTACCAAATCGGCCTAGTCTCAGCCAAGTGAGTTGCGAGGAAAATGAGAAACGTGCGCGTAATCCGCTCCGTCGCCTGCGCCTCTAAAGCCATACTAAAGCAACCCCACGCTACATCTCGGAATTATCGAGAGCGACTGAATGATCGAAGCTCGACACCCCGACGCGAAAGCCGAACGCGGGCTCCGCACCCGGCAACTACGTCACTGACGAAGAGGGGTGTGCAGTTTCCCGGACGTACATTCGTCGGCAGGACGGTTTTCAGGGGAGATTCAGCAGCAGGGTGGCGTGACAGCGGGGGCGGCGGAACGAGGGGAGTCCTGCGCGAAGGTAAAGACCGAATCTCCCGAAAAAGAAACGGAAGAGTCACAGGATGCACGATGAACAAGGAGAAACGCAGGGGTGTGAACGGGAGACTCGGCTGGAAGAAGAGAGAGAGAGAGAGAGAGAGAGAGAGAGAGGGAGAAGAGAGAATGACGAGGGTGGCGGAAGGGATGAATGTGGCGAGAGGAGGACGTGAGGTGATAGAGGAGCAGAAAGTAGAGGAGAAGGAGGAGAAGCCGGAGGAAGAGGAGGAGGAGAAGGAGGAGGAGGAGGAGGAGGAGGAGGAGGAGGAGGAAGAGGAGGAGGAGGAGGAGGCGAAGAGAAGGAGGAGGAGATGGTAGGGGTGGGGGTGGGGGCAGGGGGAGGGAGAGGAAATGGGCCGAACGAGAGCATGAACGGAGAGCGAGAGAGCGAAGTCCCAAGAGCATCCCCGTATCGCGAAGGAACAGGGACCCCGGCGGCGTGGTGGCAGGGCCGGCGACGGGGGTTGGCGGAGGGAGACGCGTTCGCGGGGGTGGGTTTCGTACGGCCAAGGCAGTGGAGTCAGTCGCGGACAGTCGCCTCGACGCTTCCACCTCTCTCAGTTGCTCCTCGGTTTCCGCACTCTGCGGACAGGCAGGTTAGTGAATCCAATTCTCGTTCATTCACCAGCGCGTCCTCGCTCTCTCTCTCTCTCTCTCTCTCTCTCCGTCGCCCACCCCTTCGACTCTGCCGTTACTCTCTCTCTCTCTCTCTCTCTCTCTCTCTCTCTCTCTCTCTCCCCCTCTCTCTCTTCCTCTCTCAGCCTTGCACACCACCGCTGCAGCACACTACCGCGTTTACACTCGCATTTCACGTGTCACCACCGCCGGCGAGCGCGATTTTTCTCTCGCTTTCCGGCCGACGAGATCGGGCTGCGTACAGGCCGAGCTGGTATACGAGGTACGTATCAGGGGTAGTCTCGCACGGCCAGGTCGTGGGCTGAACTGCCGTTCAGACGAGGCAACGCGAAGCTCCGGACCGTCGCTGTCCGAATGTCATAGCTGATGTCATAGCGTTACGCGCCGCGCGCGCGCTCGTCGCTGATTGATGAAAATTAGACGTATGTTCTCGCCGTCGACTCGTCGTGACGCACAACCTGTTATGCCACCGTTGCGGAGGAGACGATATGATGATGACGTCGGGGGAAGGGACCGGGATTCTGAACTGGCTCGGAGGAATGTAATTGTGTCTAATGAGACTGTCGGAATTAGAGCGGGAGAATTAGAGCAGAGGCGTAATCTGCGGGACGCGAAACGTGTCGAGCGAAGGAACGAGCAGCGCGCGCGATGGCTACGGTTTCTTCTTTTTCTCTTCCTCCCGACGGACTGGCGAACTTACCGATTACGCCGATTATCCGGGAGATCGAGAGATCCTGATACTTGAGACTGCTCGCTGACCGATAACGGAAAACGACGCGCGATTTCGTGCGCGATCGTTCCAGAAAACAGTTGGCGAGAGAGCGAAGGTGTTTCTCGAAGGTGAATCGTTGTCGCGATTGCTGTTGCCGACGAATGCACCGCGAATAAGCCCGAAATCGAGATGAAACTCCGCGCGGTTTTAATGGAGATGTAACAGTATGATCGGAGGCCGTCAACGCGGATTAAACGATAAAAGCTACGCGGGCGGAAAGTATCCCGCGGATGAAAATCGCAAATCGCCGGAGAGGATCGCGTCGCGCCGACGAAGCCGTCGTGTCGACGAGTTTCGACACACATTCTCTAAAGTTCACAACCCGCTCGCTAATCCGCGGCCCAGTCGGCCTGTCAAGAGTAACCTTGAACGGGAATGGAACATTTCACGATTACATTAACACAGGCGACGATTACTACGCTCACACGTGAATGGCCATAAAATTCTCGCCGTCCCATTCTCGACGCTCGCGAAAGTAGGTCAGTCGCCGAAATTGGGAGCCGTCGATCGGCGAAAAAACGTCGGGCGCATTTTTCAACGAACGCGCGGCCCACGCGCGATGATCCGCGCGGAAATCGCACAGTCGCGCGCGCGCGCGCGCGTGCGAGAGAAAGAGATAGAAGGAGAAATAGAAAGAGAAAGAGTTTTATTTCACGCGCCGTTGCTGAAGCAAGCCGCGGCTTCGACGACGGCAGCAACGGCAGCTCCGACGACGAGAACTACGCCCGACAAATCGACTGTCGCGAGACGGACTTGGCCTGCATTCTTATTCGCTCGCGAGAAGAAAAGCTCGTGGAAAAGCTCGTAGGCCACGCGAGACGCATCCGATCCGGTCGGGCTCCGTCACGAGCCGCGAGCCTCCGATGAGTTTTGCATCCCTAATTACGTGCTTCGCCCCCGCCGTCCGCCGCTGTCAGCCATTAATCACGGCTCAACTTCGCTAAGCACGCGCTGACACGCAGCCTCGATGTAATGAATAAACACGAGCTAATGATAACTTCGTAATGCATTAGCGCGATGCCGAACGTCGGCGGCATATTTGCGAAGCGCGTGTCAGCCGCGCGACAAATCTCGCGACAAGCCTGCGCGAGTCGTCATCTAAATGGAGCATTTCGAGGGCCCGCGCGGAATTCGCGCTGCGAGCGACGGGAGAACGGGCGTAGATATATATAAGTCTTTCTGGGATAATAAAAGATAATTCGCGTCACGCGTCGGCCGCAAACGGCTGCGGTGCTGACGGCGGCACCGACCAAGTGTGTTGCGTAATAATATGCTGCCAATAGCACGCTGCCGCGCAGTCTCGTGTGTGTGTGTGCGTGTGTGTGCGCGCGCGATATTGGTAATTTAACACGTTATAATTATCTGCGCTCTACTGGCGGCTCGGTAACATGACTTTACCTCGAATTCTCGCTACATTTGGCGACTGATGAAAGGAATGATCGGATATCGCCGCATATCTCTCGTATTAGCGAGATCCTGACGAGTGCTCGGTTTGCAAAAATCGCGTCCGTTTGTCTCCGCGGGGGATAAGAAATTCTCACGCATACACAGCGCCTCGATGGGACTTTATTAACTTATTAATTATAATGCGCACGAAATACGCGCGAGACGAAATGTACTCGCGAGAGATGCACCCGTTGACGTTGAGAGCAGCGAGAGAATGAAAACGCTCCGAACGGCGAAAGCAGAGGCGGAAATTGTGTTTAATATGAAAAGATCGCGGTGTGTACGAGCACTCGTGTAATTCTCGCCGCGCACTCTCGCACGTTTGCAAGCAACAAATAATCCGGGCTTGTTGCTTGTACCTGTCGGATTCGGATCTCACTTGTTGCAACCTTTCCGTCTCGACGAGTTAGCGTGAAAAGAGCTTTCAAGAGAGATCGCGTCATTTCTCGCCTTCTTTCCCGCCCCTGGCAAGGCGGCTTGGCGTTTCTTTTTTTCCCTTGCCATTTCGCCGTCGAGGTTCGAATGATTTATGAAGCTGCGGGATAGATAATTTCTGCAGGGTCGCGCGGCGCGCAACGACGAGACGAGAGCGAGCACGACGCGCTCGGAACAGATGAAGAAGGTATCATTGCAGTGCTTTGCGCAACAAGGATCCCCCCGGTCCTTAAATTGGACGGCCCAGGCGATTCTTATTGTCCCCGTCGATTATACCCTCGCTGACAATAAGAACCGTGCCCGATGGTTTTCGCTCGAGCCAATCCCGAGCGAAATAAATTTGACTCGCCGGACGTAAACGAGAGAGTCCGTACTATCTCGCTGAAGGTCATCGAGGTCAACAATGCGATGAAAGGCATCCGAGCGGGAAGAAGAAATCATTTCGTCCGTAATTCGAGCGAGACGTCGGCAAATTCGATTTCACGCGCGCGTAATACGCGACGAATGTTATTCGGGGCACTGCGAGAGTTTCGCGGGAGCGGAATATTTTTCCGTGTACACTGATGACAGACACGCGCGATGCAAATATTACAAAAATGCAGCGCGCAATGGTCGGACGATGAAAATGTTGACCGCAGGGATCTATTTTCGCTTAACGGGGAAAAATACTCCGGCAATTAAAGCCCACGCGTATCTGCGCGCCGCGTCAATTCAAAAATTCCCCGCAACATTCAGCGACAGCGGGAAACGATGGCGAAAACCGATACGAACTCTTTCTTCCCGGCGGGGTACTCACGGAATAACAGGAGGAACTAATCGAGCACGAAGGAGAGCAAAGTCGAGGAGAGTCTCGAGAAATGGCGGCGGCAACGATTCTTAATTAATCCGCGATGTCACGTGTGTTTGCGGTCCCTCGCCCATGGCAATTTAATTACTCGACCCACCGGCGACATCAATCTCGGCTTTTTCGTCCGGAGAAAGAACTGTTACGCCCCCCCCCCCTCCCCCATTCGAGTAATCTTGTAGATTGCCACTCGCTACTACTCGCTCGGATCGCGTCGTCAAAGAACTGTTAATCGCGCTTCTTCCTCGCACATGTTGCGTGGGGTTATTAATCTTGCGCGCACGCGCGCGCGGGCGTCGTTATCACGTCGATTTTTCGTCCCACCCGAATGAAAAATCGGTCGCGAATATAGAATCTACCGCGCAGAAATATAAAAACGCGACAGCCCCCGCCCCCGAGCCGGCTCGAGAGGCGTGCTCGGCTTGTATGTCTGCGTGTATCGTTGCGCGATGTGTGATGGTGCGCGCGGAAACACGGGGGCGTGCGGCCGAGATTTACGATCGAATCGTATATTCACGGCGTTTACCGTTATCTCTTTTATATTGACGCGCTGTTTAGCACATTCATCATCCCGCGCGGGGCCGCCGCTGTCAGGTCGTACAAGTATTTTTTTATTGCGCGACGGTGTGCAGACATGGCGGCCGCGCGGTCGCGCGGATGAAAACCGGGCATCATAAAGTGTCGAGCTCCCCTGTCGCGCCGTCCGCGCACATCCGCTTTAATCTCTTCAGACTTGACGAGAGGATCCCCGTCTAATCACGCGCGGAATTCTACTCGCCGCACCTCGTATACCTGTCGTTCACGAAACACGCGCGTACGCGGAGCACGTTCGCAACGAACTCGTTCTCCGTCGCGGGTAATTTGAAAATCGCGAGCGCTCGCCGAGACACTTCGAGTCGTAACTCGTCTCGGGGCTTATTAAAGCGCGGCTGATTAAAAATGCGACGTCTTCCCGTCGGGCAGTTTTAACGATGTATACCGCGAGACTACGCTAGACTACGATGAAGGGATTACACAGAATTACCGTTTATAGTTTGTCTGCTGCTGCCGGGAAACTGCGTGAATCCCCGCAAAAATGCGAAAAATGTCAAAGTCGAGCGCGCCGCTTTTGTCATCTTTCCGCTCGCTAATCCGGGAAATCGATGATTTAATCATAGGAAAAAAGGACGAAAGAAAAATAGAAACCGTCTGATATCCTTGCCTTCGGCTCGGCGGATTATTCGTTTGACTGTTTTTCTTTCCTCTTCTCCTCTCAATTAATGATACTCCGCGCGCTATTGAACATCTGAGGAACGTCTGTTTGCACATGTGAAATAGAAATATCTTGTGACTTCTCGAGTGAGTAATACACCTTTGTGTAACACGTCGAACATTTCCTGCCGTTTCAAAGTGGATTTCTCTCGCTCTCATCCCCATGGTAATGCGCGAAAACAACAATTTCGAGATTCCGAATTTCTTCGGAC